AAATAAGAACAACGAAACACAGCTAAGAAGAAAGGCAAACATGCATATTTTATATATTTTAATACTATACATTTATATATTTGGACTCTTACTGAGAATTCAAAGTTTTATCTGCTTCACACCTGCACATTTTAAATGAACCTAACATGCATCCAGATTTAAAAGGTTTGTTTTTAAAGTGTTCTAATTGGTTTAGGCCCCTGGTAAAGGCCTGGGAGCCTGAGGGTCCTGGGCAGTATCCTAGCTGTCCCTAGGACTGCTCTGTTCTGGACAGAGATCTCCGATGTTGTTCCCGGGATCTGCTGGAGCCCCGTGCCAAGCTTGGGAGTCACCGGACCTAGTGCACCTAGTGCTCCGATTACCACTGGGACCACTGTTACCTTCACCCTCCACATCTTCTCGAGCTCTTCTCTGAGACTTTGTTACTTCTGAAGCTTCTCATGCTCCTTCGTCCTGTTCTACAAACCATTTCTTCCTTTTTCTGTATAATTTTAAATATTCCTTATGGTGCTTTCGTTCACTTATTTGTTGAGACTTTGTTAAGGATCAGGGTCTATTAAACAGTTTTAAACCATGTCTGGTTGTTGAAGTATCCTAAGGACAATATCAAGAGACAATATTACAAGATTGCTCAAGCAGAAGATCATTTCTGTGCCATAGAAAGACATAAATGTTCATTTTTGCAGCTTTTAAAGATTAAACACGACCCACAGTTATATTGTTCAGTGGAGTCGGTCCAGTACCAGCCATTATCGAGGCAGAGGTTAGGAATAACGAAGGTTTCAGTGATTTTCTCTGGAGTGGAGATGTTGATTCATCCGTGGAAAGACCTTGCTGCGGGTAATTTCATTATGCACATGAGAAGGAGCGCCTCTGTGCCTGTGCTGAAAAGAACACGGGCGGCGTGCTGCTGGCAGCACACGTACGGCCTGGCACGGTAATCTGTATACCACCGCCACCGCAGTGATCTCCTGATCAGTTGCAGTTGTCCACTTTCCTTGGGTTGAGTTAACAGGAAAAATGGCATCCACAAAAAAGCCACAGCATTCCTCTGACAATGCCTATGTCTGTATAGCATAAACAGATGGAAGATCTTGGCTAAGCTCAGCCTGGGCTTAACTTTATTCGAGGATCTATTGTTTTTCTTTTTCCTTTTTTGAAAGCTAGAGCAGGCTGCTGCTGTTCTGGCATCTGCTCCTGTGGAGAATTTGGTTCCTAAACAAGAAGAAAGGGAAGTTACCAAAGCCACCGTTGCTAATGATAAGAAAAATTCAAGAAGACATTTAATATTATACATTTCACAGTGTTACAGTAAACCATGGGAATGGTTCATTTTCTCCATCATTCTCTGGTTTTCTGTTCTTGTAGACAGTTTTTATTGTTCTCCTTCCTTTATGTCTTTGGGCCATAAAAATCCCGTCTCCTTTTCCATGTTGGCTTTAAACCATTTCTGTTGTTGTGGCAGATGTTTTTATGCTTAAAGTCTATGAAATGTTAACAATGCAAACATATTCTTGCCAGCTTTTACATCATTAGCAGAGACGACTTGTAATATGCATGCACATTTTTTAAAATCAGTTATTCTTCTATAGCTTGTTTTAATTTTCACATAGAAAATCACACGAATCTTTCTCAGAAAGATTTCTGGCTTTAAGGAAAAAAAAATCCCTTCTTCGCCAGAGATCAAGACTTTCCTTCTCTACTTAAACTTGAGAGAAAAAGAGAAGAGCAGCACGCCTGACACTGCAGGAGGCATCGCGGTTCAAAGGAAGATGCAGAGTATGTGGATGGATTCCTAAGTTGGTTGTGGATACTTGTTGAGAAAAAGGTAGTGCAGATCTTCAAAACACAGTTAAAGAACCTGAGGTTATGTACCTCTGATTTGGGCAAGTTTGTCCTAAAGATAATAGAAAGTGCTTTCTTCTCTGCTCACAATTTAATTGCTTTTTAAATTGGATCTGTTTCTGTCTATGTACCAGCGCCCCACGAAAATGTGTTGGAGAGAGAATCTATGTGAGAGAACTGTTATCGCCATATTTAGAAGCAGTTCAGTCTAATCTTCCTGACATCACACGAGCAGGCGCCTTAAATCTCCCAAGACCAGCGCTCAATACGACACCATCCACTGGAGAAAGTCCATCAAACTCCCTTCTCCTCAGTTTGAGTCAGAGTTAATGAGCCTGTCGTGTGGACAGACTTGCAAACTCTCCAGTGAAAAAGAGAACAACAAATTATATTAATTGAAATGCCACTCCTCTTCATTTGATGGACACCTTCCTTTTTTTTACCTCCACTCAGCATTATGTTTCCACTGATGCTTCCACCATCAGCTCTCAAGCGAAAAGTAATTTGCTCAAGATAGTTTACTGCTGAGTAAGCAGTGTCGAGATGATATTCGGAGCTCGTATCTCGAACTAATGATGTCATGTTGTCCCTGATTGCTAAAAAGCTGAGGTCTGATATCCTGCAGACAAAAGTGGGAGAACGCACGAGGAATAAAAGAAAGTTCACATTCCTAACCCTGGTCAAGATAACATTTATTACATTCTGCTGATATTAAATGTTTTCTTATTTGATATTGTGCAGAATGCATATTCCTCCAAACCGTCCACAAAGTGGATTAAGCTGCTTGGCTTCATGCAAAGCCATACTTCAGAAAGCCTGCATTTAGTGTCACTTTCTGCTTTAACATGCTCACGTTTGCATCATTATTTTCATTCCATGCACGGGCGATTTGCGGCTCAGATGTGGCGTTCAACCTACTATTAGTCGTGTCCTTGTAATTTCTTTTACCGTCCAGGATCCGTACAGGGAGGTCTTCTTCTGTCATACATCGGGCAACACTCCCGCTCCCTCCACCCTGCCAGGACACTCTTCTTTCTCTCATTCACCCCCAGACGCACATGTTTTAACTTTGGTGAAACATTTATATGTGTGACTCTGAGAACTAACCATCATATATATACATATATATATGTGTATATATATGTGTATATATATATGTATATATATATATATATATATATATATATCAAGTGGGTTATGTTCATAATGATATATTATGAATTTTATTTAAGGATCCAGTGATCAGAGGTGTGGTAAGTAATCTATGCGCTTTGAACCTGAAAATAAATGTATTTATGGACCTGATGAAAATAAATAAATAAAAAGGAGCATGAATAATCAGTCAACAGAGAAATGTAGACTCTAAGCCAAAAAACAGAAAAACTTTGATCAGACTAATTAATTCCTGAAATGTATTACATCACAGTGTCCTGCTGCTGTCCTGTGAAAGGCTACATTGAAATGCTGCCCTGACAGATGGGGCTTGCCTATTGAAACAACCTTGAATCAACAGCAGTCGCCAGACTACTGACTTTGTCTGCAACACTTTTGCAATTATTCTTTTCTTCTCTTCTTTCTTTGCCGCTGGTCTAATACCTCCTTGTGTTGTGCAATATACTCTTAAAGGAAGTCCAAGAATCATGTTAACGGTCGTGATGATCATTTTAATTTCGAAATGCAATGTATTGTTTTTGGAAATGTAGAAACACGCTGGCCATGTAAAAGTGATAATAAAAGACTAAGTCTGGGAAAGTTTAATAATTACCAGACACTGAATTTACTCATCATGAAAAAGAACACCCAGCTTTGTTTTGCTTGTTCACTTCTAAAGTGGCAATTTTGTGCAATCACGGGAAAATCATCGGAAATGTTCGGTATTTAGCTAAGGACAATGCATTCAGTTGTATATTAGAGGCTGAAATAATTTACCTTGTTTAGTCTTCTCACAGATATTCTTGGCCTAAGGGCCCTCTAGTGGTCCCTTTGGGCCCAGCTTTACAACTTTTCCGACCCTTGTTGAGGAGAAAGAAGTTCCTGAAAACACACTGTGGCGACTCATTGTTCAGGGTGGTAAACATATAATCTGCTCTTCACATCAAAAGCAGGAAAAGATTTTCCCGTCATCATTTATCCAAGAAAGTCAGTCTTTTAGGTCAAAGTGATCTCTGCTCTCACACCATCTTGTCATTGGACTGACATAAATTACAAAAATGTAGCTTTTAATAAGTAACTGTTATTTTTTCTGTCATAAGAATCGTCATCAAGGCAAGCGCACAGGATGTGTGCGTCTGCTTCAGCTGCTGCTCCCTGTATGTCTACATGTGCAGCAAACTGAAGCCACATTTAAAGTAGAGGGAAATATTTCTTACAGCCAAGCAAGCCTGTGTTTCTTTAATTATTAATTCTCCTACGTAAGCAATAATAGCTCTAGCCAGCAAATATATTATATGTTATTGTCTTTTGTAGATGTTAGATGAGCGCCACAGATTACAGTGACAGGTTTTATGAAATTTAATATGATATTCGTTCATGAAGCATACCCTCGAACTCCACTCTAAGGACCACCTTGACATTATGGACTACTCTTAGCGGTATTAAGTGACCCCTACCAGCGGTTCTCAGCCCCACCTAGTGTGATTTATCCCCTTTCTAGAGGAGGGGAGGTGCGCATGCGCTCGGGTTCTCTCAAACCACATGTGTTAGGAGCATAGCTGCGTCAAGTTTGCAGAAATGCGAAGGTTTGGAGCGGAAGTGAAGTAGATTAATCGTCCATATTAAGTCTTAAGGTTTGACAGAAATGAAGTTATATTAGAAAACTAAATATTAATTATTAAAAGAGTATATATAAAAATCCTATATGGGGGAGCTCACTGAATAATATAAAGCTTTGTTAAAATGAACCTCATGTGTGGTCAAAAAGCAGTTATGTGTCTTTTACGCCTTGTTTTATCTGCTCATCTACATCCTCACACTACATCGCAGGACTTTCATTAAATAAGGCTACCGTGTTCTTTTGTCAACCTTTAGATGCACTTGGACACCTGTTTTTGTTCGCGCTGCTCACTGCAAAGTTTATTTTGAAAGTCTACTCGGATGTTGGACAATTCCAGACTGTCTGACTTGACCTCTGTCTCAATCGCTACGTTTAGCCAGCAGCGGCCGCTGAGCATCAGAGGCTGATCCTCCTCTGTGTCAGGGAGGCGTGCTGCGTGTGTTGTCACAGATCCACGAAACGCTGCTCGTGTTTTATTTCCTGCCCAACTCTCAGCGGGATAAAAAGCTCTCGGGCTCAGACCCAACATGGGTTAGAAAGAAAGCCACCTATGGATTATCCACTTTGCGCACTTCAGCGAGGATGATGGGGGGGAGAGAATGGACTTGTTTTCGCAGAGACATCCTGACAAAGACGGGGACTGAGAGGGACTAGAAACCGGGACTCGCTGCTTCTCTGTGTCTCGCTTTGCATCTTTTTAATTTTCTTTATTTTTTTCTCATTTCCCAGTTTGTTTAGTTTTGTTTTTGTTAGTATTTCCCCGCGCGCGTGCGAGGCAGAAATGTTTGCAGAATTGCTGTGCGGCGCCGTGGCTCTGGTCCTGTATGTCAACACTCTGGGCGCCGATTTCTGCTACGATGACAGGTACTTGAGTGAATGAATGACATCCAAACGCACGGTGCTGTATCCACTAGCAGGAAACCTCATCGGTTCTGTAGAGAAGCGATGATTTACAACTTGGAGGAAGGAGGCATTTCATTGCGTCAGCATCAAAACAGAGCGTTGTGTCTATCACTACAAACAGTCCGCTTGAAGGCAGGTATCACGTATCGGTAGTTTGTGCTCTGAGGAGAAGCTGAGTGATGGAAATGTCCCACTGCTTTGAAAGTCACTGTCAGAGTCCACAGTCCAGACACGTGCTTGTTTGTGACATGTGTGGCAGCTGCCTTGAAAGATAATTCCTTTGGGCTAATATTTCAACATTCCCGTGTTACAGCTGATCTGTCTTGGATCACAGCTTGTTGTTTTTCCGTAAGTTGAAAAGTGTAGTCAGGCAGCGCGGCCTCAGAAATAACTTCTTCAAAGTCTCAAAGTCTTGAGATGTGCTGGGGAATCAATTGATCCCAACAGGAAAAAAAATGTGCCTCATATCTCTGCAGCAGTTCCACACATGCACGAGTGTGCAGAGCGTTTTCTTATTCATTTACTTAAAAGAGGCAACGTTGTAACCCATTTCATTGGTTTGTGGGCTCAGTCGCTGTTATGCAGGGAAATGCATTACTCATAGCTGGCCTTTTGATATTTGATGGCTGAATGGTTGTCAGTGCCTCCGGCTCCTTACTCTCCATCCATTGCCTTGATGTAGGTCAGCTGCATGCACATTTTATGCTCCTATCACTGTATCAACATCCTATCAATATTACTACAGCCAGTATTCATAGTTGTCAGTCTGGGATGCTTTTTCTCTGAACAGAATATTGTGCAGTGCTGTGCATTTATTATATGTGTCTTAAAGAGTAAAGCACGCACAGAGAATACAGCTTAGTGTACAAACACTGAACGTGGTGTATTTCCTGCACATCTCTGCTCACTGCTCTGGATATAGAACATTTCCTGCTGAGCACATCCCCCCTGGTCTTTTTCTTTCTTTCTTTTTTTTGCTGAAAGTGTGACACTTTTTCTTTTACAGTTGTGTGTTGCTGTGCGTTTTGCACTTGGTGCTTAGGTCGGGTGATTCACACACTTACATGATAGGAAGGTGGAGAGGTGAGAGCCGGCTGTTGGATAGCCCCTCCAAGTTTGAATGTAATACAGACGCCAAACCTTGATAATTCTATGAGGAGATGTTAACATAATTGTAAAATAATTATTTATTACCGCAGGATTTTGGCTCCAAATTTTTTCTGGCTTTTTTGGTAAAACAGATGAGTGACCGAATTCGCCCATCCCAGCCGGGGTTTTGCTCTGACGTACAGTATTCTGTCTCTGACATCTTGTTCTATTGCAGGCTATCTGTCACATCCAGCGTTATCTGTTTTTAACACCGTGTGTTCCAGGCTTGCAATTAGCAGCCGTCTCCTGTCCCCCCCTGGGCTCCACCGAGAGCGAGGCGGGAGGAGAGAGGAAGGGTGTGTGCGGCGGTGCTGTATCATTTTAAGTACAACAGTCCTGGGCACACAAACTGATCTGACTTGCTAATGCTGGGTTAGGTTTGAAAAAAGATGATGTCTTTATGCTGTCATTATGGAAAATACTACATTTGTAATGGCAATAAATCAGCCTTCGAGCTTGCCATTACTAAACACCCTGCAGCCTTTAGAGTGGATTTATTTAAACTGTGACACTAATTTATGCATCATTCAGATATTGTTTTTCATAAACTAAAAGGACACCAGAGTTACAGAATATAACGACGGCATGCCCCAAAATAAAGATTTATAGCTTCGATTGAACTTTTTATGGTAAACAGCTGAGGAGAACAAAATAAATATAGCTGTTTTTCACAAGGCGGCATTGATTCCTGTCGGTGAAAAGATAGATTGTGTTTCTCCTTTGCTGCTGGCTGTGAAACTAATGCCCAGACTTAAATCAGTTTGTGATTTAAAATCAAAATTCAAGATTGCAGTGTGCATAAAATGCCTGGGGGGCACAAAGATGCCATAGAAGAGACACCTGAGGATTCATAGTTGCTTTGTAGCAGTGCTTTTTTTGTTTTCTTCAAATTCATTCTTCTCATGGTATCAGGAGTGCCTCGGTCACATGCGTCTTATCATATGTGTGTTCAGTGGTTACACATTAATAACTTTATGCCTGGTAACCAAGGCGGTAACCAAGGAAGTTCACATTTAAAAGGAGAGGGGAAACTTTTGTTTACACATGTTTAATTATTTTTGTCCAGAGTCTAAATAAAATAATTCCATGCAAGTCAGTTTTCTGACCCTGCAGCCGGTAATGCCCCTCATTTGATACGAATGACAGCGTGGAGGAGCGACCTGCTCGCCACGGCCAAATTCCCGCGGGGAGGGGGCTTTTCCTTTCCCTCCCTGGGACACAGTCATCATTAGCACATACACAGCTTTGACACCTGTACTGGAAAATGGGAATCATACGTCATGTAGTTAATATCAGCACTGCTGCAATCTACAGTTAGGGCTGAGCGAAGGAATGGGAGAGCTCAGATAAACGTCAGACGAGAAATACTGGTGCAATATTCTGTAAGCCGTGTGCACCAGGAACTCGCGTGATAATGAAAAGACCTCCGTGGTTTGATTGCAGGATTCTTTTATTCGGTTATAAAAACCTGTTGAGCGCAGGTTAATCAAGGTGACGGTGTTTTTAATGAAGCTTAAAAAGCTGCCAAATTCTCCATTTAATAGCTGTAAACACTGGACTGTTTTTAAGATATATTTCACCCCCAACACACACACACACTGGCTTTATGGATTATTGTTCACTGTCAGGAGTTTGATGGATGTGATGAACTGCACCCACCTCATTTTTCCAGCCTCGTGTTATGGTGTACAATTTGACTGTGTGAGGATGTGTGAAGGTTGTGGGTCACGCTGAAGGACGCAGCCTCCCTGGGCATGGCCAGTGATTTATAATGGTCAGACAGTTGGTAACGGCGAGTCATCGTACAGCTCCACGCACTGAAAGTTTTATTAGAGAAGTTGGGATTGAGGGCAGAACCAAAAGCTGCTTTGCTGAGGCAGTTTATGTGAGGTTTGGGTGGTGACTCATGTTGACACCACCCAAATGTTATAGTAAATATGGTGAAGGAAAAATAAACTATTAAATATTTGTTTTTAGTTCAGATTAATTCAAGTTTTCTTCAAGTTTAACTTCAGAGACGTGTAGACAACCTTAATCTGGCCTCTGAGGTGGAGACCAGACTACTTTGACCTACCTGCCCCAGTATAGGCTTGTCCATAGCTGTCTCTTCTTTGGCACAGTGTCACTGCAGTGATCTTGAACCCTACTCTCATAGCCTATACTGTAGGATTGCTGCTTAGCATTGTGGTTATCTTGAGGGCCCAAGGGCGGCAACCCAGCAGCCTGAATATCTCTACTTTTTTCCCCAGTCAGGGTTTCTTAGCCTGCGCCCTGTAATTATCGTCCTGCCTGCAGAGAGGGACTCACGACATGGTTTCGTAGATGTAGCTACGCTGCTGTTTCTCTCTGCATCTTTTTTCCCTCCGTCTCTCTTCCTTTCAGCTACCCCCCCAAAAACCTTTAGGCCCCCGGCTTCTATCATCCAGCGTCTCCAGATGGTCTCGTTCGGTAAGCAGTTTAGGGTTTTTCTCCCTTCACCAGTTTCAGGGGGAGCATTTGAAGTGGATTCAAATGTAGGTTGTTTGTTGCTTGTAGTTGCCAGGATGGAGACATCAGAGTTCATGCTGACAGTCAGTGAAGATAGACAAAATAATATAATGCATTAAAACTCATGTATTTAGTTTTTCAAAGGGGCCATAATCACTGTTTAGAATAGATCGAATCTGTGTAATGCAACCAAAACGACAAACGTGCACATAATTATCACCTGACTCTGTGATACACAGAGCTTTCCAGCATTTTTCAACTCATCATTTATGTTACGGCCTTCAGATTAGCTGCTTTGATTCATTCTCACCGCTCTTATATGGTTTTCCATCACAACAGATTCATATTCCTCGATTGCTTTTCCCAGCACCAAGTATCAGACTGAAAAAGTGAGGCAGAAATAATATTGGAGTCAGGTTTCCTCTATTCCCGAACAATTCAGTTGAAGAAAATTAAAGCTCTTTTGTGTAAATGTGAAGAACTCTTTAATCTGTCAGTTTTAGGTTGCAGTGCTGTTCTGTTAAATTCAGTTAAATAAAACTTTACATATTAAGTCTTTTTAACTTAATGTCCTTTAACGGGAAAGAGTTCTCCACTCAGCCAGGGCTTTTCTAACATGTGGTAAACATTTACACGTGTTAGAAAGCATTAAAATAGACCCAAAAAATCATAGGTCTGTTTTTACCAAAGCTGTGATCTTTTCCTAAAACTAACCTAATCCTAACCCAGCAGTCATAGATGCAAACAAACATGAACCCCAATCTCCTGGGTCAAAGTCCTTCACGTTTGACTTGAAAGACTCTGTGATCTTGAAATTTTATGGACATTAACATATGTAATGATTCTTATCTTCAAAGTTATCGCAAATATATTAGAACAAAAATTTAAAAAAGATATATTGCAAATTTAAATCAAGTTAAAAATGCAAAGAATTCGTTTTAAAAAAGCACAGATGAAAGAGCTGTAACGGTTTTCTTCAGTGCGACTCTGTTGTCAACGGTAAGAACCTTGGGTCCTGCATTTCCTTCCTTCGACTGCCAGACTGCATAATCTGCTGGCAGGATAGGAAGGAGACATGTGGGAGGTATCCTACTCACTCCTGGTGGCTCCACACTTTCTCTAATGAATATTCTAGCAGGAATGTTTCTGATTATCAGTTACAGATTTTTAGCTCCAGTGTGAGTCTGTTGACATTCCACGTGTGAGCGCTGCCAGTGTGCGGTGAATGTGACAACTTTTTGAAATCTTCATTACAGTATCTCTCAGATTTCCCTTCAAATGTACCAGAAAGAGAAAAGGAAGAAAGACGATTCTTCTTTTAAAAC